TAGAAAACATATAGGTGAATAAAAAGTAAATAAAGTCTGATACAAATAGATTACAGAAAGAAGAAGTCAAAACCAAAGCCTTTGAAGATCTCACAAAAACTTTTCTCCTTTCTAACGAGCTACTTTTTGAAAAATATTCATCTTCTCTCCGGTATTTTCAAGCCCTTTGACATCAAAAACATGTCAGTTAACAGCAACGATGTGTCAATTCTAAAATATATTGCCCTTAAATCCGCTAAATTTTATTTTTCTAATTCTAACTCATCATGCTTTAAAATTCCCAATTCCCTTTTAAATTCCCAATAAAAGAAATACAACTCTTACCGCAGAAATTAGTTTGTCTCCGAATAAGTACACAAAGCTTTTTGAAATTAATTTTACAATTGAGGAATTCGTAGAAGGTCCAGGGGCACACCTCCAATCCACAATAAAAAAAATTATCAAATGATTGACAACGCCCTTATAAACATAAAAAAAGGAATAATTGCACTATATAATGGGTCCTACGAAAACAAAAATAGTCCCACAAAATTTTGAAATAGCCACGGTCAGCAAAAATGGTATTTCCATCGAAAATTATAGACCGACATATATCCCTACTTACATGCTTGGCGACATTACAATAAAAAATTATACGAAATAGACTAACGTGATACCTCAATTTCTCTAAATTAATTTCTCAACAACGACTGCTTGTTTGATGACAGGAGATATTTCGTCTTGCCCTCGTTCACCACCAGACTCATTTGCTTTGCTTCCTTATCCCCTCTGGAGAAAGCAGAAATAACAGCGCGGTTGATGAGGTCAATGAAATTAATATCATCGGCGTAGGCAAGCAGCTGTATCCTCTTATACAAGATTATACTTTTTCTATTTAGTTCAGCAGCTCGAATTATTTTCTCCAGCCTATTGTTTGAAGAAGGCGCATGATACGGAGTCGCCATGTTTGAAAATTCGTTTGGTATCTAACGGCTCGGAGAGGTCCTTACAGATCCTGACGGAACCTTTGGTATTGCTCAACGTCAGCTTACACAGCCGTATTAGTTTTGCGGGGATAGCAAATTCAAACATCGCGGCATAAAGGAATGACCAAGACATTTCTTTTTTATGTATTGGGCACAACACATTTAATTTCCAATCATCAGGAATTTTTGGTCCGACAATATTCTCTTCTCCTCCCTAAACAGTTCTCGCCGCCGTAGAGGTCGGAAATTCATAGGCCCCGCCATTTTGTTGTTATTGAGACGGATAGTTGCTATTCATGGTACAATGGTAATTCCGCTCAACGGTATCGACTTAAGAATAGCATTCACCATCTCCTATTGTTATGCTTTCACTGCCACTTAAAAGGCTGGGGAAGTGTTCCTTCCGTAATTTTAATATGATCTTGATCACCTCTGGGGGTTCTACAAGAGTATGCTTCAGTATTGAAGCCTTGTCTAGTCGCCACATTTTTTCGTAGAATTTTCGAGTATTACCCTTGTCGACCATCCTGTCAAGCTCTTCTTACTCTCGACCTCTCTCTTTTTTGTCTGCAAATGCGGCTCGCTTCCCTCTTCAACTCTCGCTATCTATCCCATCCCGCGTATATTGTGGTCGTTCGTAACGCTGCGAGGTAAGCAGTCTGCTTTCTCCATCGTAAAGGAGGAGTAGAAAAAGTATCAGCTGATGTTATGTAAACAAAGGCATAGCTGAAAGGTGCCACTGTAGAAACGTCAAGGAGAGTTCGGGGTTGAGTTTCCCGACTTTTAACCGGAAAATGGTTGCATTGTGCTATTTTCCTAAAATTTGTGGAACARATGTCCCAAAAATATTGGTTATATATAAAACTTCGATATATTTCAAAAGGAAATCGTATACCTCTTTTTAACTGTGGTAAGTTAATAATTCACAGCCATATTTATGTTTTTGCCATCGTAAAGGTGGTTTTTGCAAGACAATTTGTTAGAGTTTATTTCATGGCACAATCCTTTACGATAGCTTATTTAATTATTTTAATCTGGAAAAAGTGTTTGCACTTTTCCTTGGGAGGAGAAAGGGTTTCTGGGCTTTGCCAACTGATGGAGTTGTTTTAGACCCACCTTCAAAATATGTGTACCAATCATATTCTACCAAATTAGAACGAGTGTCTGATCTCGCCAACAGTAGAATGAAGGTACTTCATTATACCCTGAACAGGGAATATTAAATTTGACACGAAGTTTTAACACCCAGAATGAAGCGACGGAGAACCCATAAAGTTTATATGTCCGTCTGTCTGCCTGTCCGTCTGTATATATACGAACTAGTCCCTTAGTTTAGAAATTTTGCAAACGTCATTTTCTCTTCTGCTCATTTGTAGGAACTCCCGTTATCGGACAACTATAAAATATAGCTGCTATATAAACTGAACGATCGGAATCAAGTTCTTGTATAGAAAATTTTCATATTTGACAATGTATCTTCGCAAAAGTTAGCACAGGTTATTTTCTAAGATTTATTATACGAAGAAATTGTTCAGAAGCAAGCTGAACGATCGGAATCTAAAGCTGGTATGATAAACTTTTGCATTTGACGAGATATATTGATGAAATGTGGTATAGATTATTTTCTGGAGCAACAATGTAATCTCCGAAAAAATTGTTCAGATCGGAATCAAATGCTTGCTAAAAAAGCAAGAGATAAAATCCCGAACGAACGAAAAAAGTTCGAAAAGATGTAGGAAAGTATCGTGGTAAGCTTTGCATGGCCACAAGTGTACATTAAAATATCAATATGTATTTTAATTATTTATTATTTAATTTAAACGATTTTATTATTGTTACTTTCCTAATTGCATATATTTAATTAAGTGTAATATTTTGTTAAACACTTTTTAGCTATATTTGTAAAAATCGAAATATCAACTTTACCTTTATGTTGTATTGTACACTTTTTAAAATACTTTGAGATTTTATACATAAAACATAGTGATGGAGGATGGAGTCATGTGTAGAAGTTCACGCAAGTGAGGAAAGTTCTCTGATCGCCATTCAGTTGGGAGTGGCCAGAAACGATTCTTTTACATATGGCTCCAGCAGCCTCCGACTTCCGGTATTTGACCAAGTATCCTCTGGGTAGCCTAAGAATATCCGTTTGAAGGCGAGCTAAAGTGAGAAGGCGAAACATCCCCTACATAGCGTTGTGTGCCACGTAAAAAAAAAACACGCAATGAAAACTAACAACCAACCTCGGACGAGAGACCCCCCTTTTGATGACGGCCATGGCAAACGAAATAAGGACAACTTAATTGGAAAAGTGCCGCTCCTCACGAAAATAATGGCTGACAGCACCGCCGTCCAAGAAATGTGATGGACGGGTCAAGGAAAGACAAGTAGGTCCTTGTGACACTTACTACAGTGGCCATATAAAGGAGCGCAAGTTTGGTATGGCACTCGTATTGCCAGAGAGACTCCGTCGCCGAATACAATCATTCACTCCGATAAATGAACGTCCAACCACAATCCGCATCAAAGCGAGGTTCTTCAACATATCGCTGATTTGCGCCCACGCCCTGACGAAAGAAACGGATGATGTGACCAAAGATGCCTTCTATAAGCGCTTGGAGCGCGCCTATGAGAGCTGCCCCGCCAAGATGTCAAAATCGTACTTGGAAGGAATCTTAGGCACTACGGTCGGTAAATTCAGCATCTATAACGAAACATCCCCAAAATGGTTGAGGCTGATCGATTTCCCGGGGTCCGAAATATGATTATCTGTGGTACTAGATTCCAGCGCAAGAAAATATATCAAGCTACCTGGCTGTCTCTGGATCGCAAAGCCGTAATCATGTTGTGTAGGAAGGAAGACACCTCTCCAAGATTCGCACCCGCCTCTCTGCAGCAAAAAACGCCATCAAACACAACGAAGGTTCGAAGTCAAGCAGCTGCAATCACAACAGACAGCCGAATGATTTGCCATTAGACTTTCACTCTTGCTCTCTGAGAGCACTCGTCAACAGCCCGATTCCCCAATCGATGACGATGGAGCAGACGTTTCATTGCCCGACCATGAAGAAGTTCGTATAGTAGTTACCCGCCTGATGGACAACAAAGTGGCGTGAAAGGAGAATTAATACATACCACCTCTCCGCCGATTTCAAAGCTTCTTTCGACAGCACGAAAAGGAGCTGCCTTCATGCCGCGATTTCAGAATTTTGTATCCCCGCAAAACTAATACGGCTGTGTAAACTGACGTTGAGCAACACCAAAAGCTACCAAACGAGGCTTGAGAGAAGGCGACTCCCTATCGTGCGACTTCTTCAACCTGATGCTGGAGAAAATAATTCGAGCTGCAGAACTTAGTCTAGCAAGTACAATATTTTATAAGAGTGTACGGATGCTGGCGTCTGTCGATGATATTGATATTATATAAATACTAAATACTTAGGAATGAGGCTTGACTCTAAGCTGCGGTGGAAAGTTGACGTAAAAAACAAACGTAAAGAGCTGGACATACGGCTCAAAAGTTATAATTGGCTAATCGGTAACAAATCAGTGTAATCCATCGAAAATAAGTAACTTATCTATAAGCAAATACTCCGACCGATATGGAGCTGTGGTGCACAACTCTGGGGATGTACTAACCAAAACAATAAGAAAGTCATCCAACAATTCAAAACAAAGTACTAGGATTAATTTTCAAAGCGCCTTGGTATTGTAGATGTGCAGATATAGAGCGTGATCTAGGTTAACGCAGAAATATTAAGAATTGCAACAGCACATAGTGCAAGATTGCTACAGCATTGCAACGAAAAATCTATCTAGAGATGGACCACCAAGACGACTCAAACGCCTCAAACCCAGCGATCTTTTAAATTAGCCAATCCTCTCATAGTAATTTTGTAATTATATGTTTAAGTTATATTCCAGTTGCTTGTTAGTTTTTTCTTATTTGAACTAGTTGTAATGATTAAATAAAATTAAAACAAAAAAAAATAGTTAGTATATATTATTATTTATATATTATTATAATTTCGCGCTCTTAGCTCTATAATTTAAAGAGTTATATCGTAGAGTCGAAATAACAGGTTGCATGTGTGATATGTGATACAATTGTTCAATTTTCTTTTATTTTCACTGACTGTTATTTTCACTGTAACTGTTAAGTGTGTTTTAGAGAACAGTACTGAAATATTCACTTCACTTTTCAATAATAAAATAACTGATAATTGGTTGAACGGGAGATTTGTGATATAGTACTCCAATCTGGCCAATTCCGACAAATTATCAATAGAATTTTAAAATGCACCTACGCATTAAATTTCATTTATAATCTCGAAAGGTTTTATACCCACGTTAACTTCTTTCAAAACAAGAATTACAAAATTTACTCTATTACATGAATTATTATTGTTAATAGCATTTTTTCTCACCATGTTCTTTGGAATTGCTAAAAGTTTCCGTTTTTCTATGGGTATATGCAATAGCTCTGGCACTTTACACCAATAGTCATTAGGAACATTTGCCATAAAGATTTGATTAAAGGCGCAAAATCCACAAGGTATACATGCTGGCAGGCATATTCCAAAAACCAACATTTTTTGATATATTCCAAACTCTCCTATTGATGGTAATAAGTCGTCTAAATCAAGAGATTCCTACAACGAGTTTAATTATTGTTAATTCATATGTTCAAATTTAAGTACGTATACACATACATCCAGGTTTCCATTATCATTTCTTAAATCGTTTCCTTCATAAATGTCGTCCACAATTTCATTTTCGCAATCCATATTAGCCTTACTTATTATTTTAGATATATTTAAACCTCTTCTAATTGTTTGCTAGTACAGCGGTATGAAGACTTAAAAGTTTCTACCGTACTTTTATATGCTAAATGTACTAGGGTAAACCATAGAAATTGAATTCTGTATGATATTCGATTACGGCTAACAGAACTTATAAGATTGTAGTACGGAATTCACCATTCTCGCTGCTATTTAGAGAAATGAGCACGTTCGCTGGCAGAAATATATGTAAAACGACTGAATTCATGCGAGAATAAATAAAGAGAAATGCTTTGTACAAAAATACACAAAGTCACACAGAGAATGTAAAAAAGCATTCTCTGAGTCACATATGCATGCTTATATTGTATTATATGAACCATTGTCACATATGCGCGATTATTTT